CACTGAGGAGAACGCAGGGCTAAACCAACAACTGCCACGGTTTGTGACAAGTGCAATGAAACAGATAAGCAGCTGGCAATCTTGGAAGACAGAAGGGAGCTTTAATTCAAAATAGGTAGGAAATGAGAAGGAAACAAGTATTTATTGTTTATTTGAAATGAAAACTTAACTGGGTGCCAAGTGGAGTCTAGGGAGTCATGACTAGAGTGGATCCTGGATATGATCCTGGGTCAGGAAAGGACATTGGGAGAGAACTGAAGAAAACGAATAAAATACAGATTGTAACTAATAGTTATCTATTACTATTGGTTCATACTTGTGACAAATGTAGCATGCTAATGTAAGATGTTGTAAATAGGGGAAATTTTATGTGGAACATTCAAGAACTGTTTATACTAACTGCAATAATTCTATAAATTAAAAAATGTCTACAAATAAAAAAGTTTATTAGAAATTGTTTAACTGGCATCTTGTATTTTTATTAGACCTGGCAACCCTACCACTTTTATTTCCAAATAATAATTAAACATAAAATATGAAAAACTCATCTTAAGTTTGTTAGGCAGGAAAACAGATATGAGCGGGGTGGAAAGAGAACAAGGTCCATAAAGCCCCTTAGAAAGGACTTAGTTAACCAGTTAAAACTAGAAAGCTAGGAAAGACTCAGAGTTAAAGTTAATCAGTTAAAGCTCAAAAGGTCAAGAGCAACTTGGCCTTGAAGGTTTGAATATTTACCAGATAAAAGTGAGCACAGCCCATGTCTTCATTGTGTCAATTAGATCATTGTAAGATTTACTTTAGCCTGCTAAAGGGCCCACTTATAAACAGCATAATAAAGACACGGAGATCCCACCATAAAGCCAAAATTGCATTTTGAAAAAAACTCTGGAAGTTTAAGAAGATTCTTAACATACTTTTTCCGTAAAGAGTATGTTAACTCTGCCCACCTGGGAGGAAGGGCAGTCTTGATTGACAAGCTAATTTGCAGAATTACCTAAAAAAACGTAAAGTCTCATCAAAGATACTTTAGACCACTTAACCCACACCCTAGCCCTTTGTCACATTGCTGGAAAATCCTTAAAAGGGGGAACCCCCAACCTCTCAGGGCGCTCTCTCTCTGAAGTCGCCCACACTTTCTAAGTGTGTAAACTCTTTCTTTTAATCATAAACTCTTTCCCTCCAATCTTTCAGGGCACTCCTCTCTCTTTGAGGTTGCCTGCAACTCTTTCTCTCTAAGTAACTTTAAATAAAACTTTAACTCTGCTTCACTAGGTGTCGATGCCCTTCAATTATTTGTTGCGGTGGGGACAAGAACGGAGGAAAATACACAAAGCCTCTCCCCCAACAAGTTGATAGTTTAAGGGATTTGAGTTATATATGATTTCTCCTAAATATTTGACCCAAGAACTTTATTTAAAAATTTTTTTTATTAAGGTGTCATTGATATACAATTTTATGAAGGTTTCACCTGAGCAATATTGTGGTTACTACATTCATCCATATTATCAAGTTCTCCCCCTCCCCGTGTACCCCATTGCAGTCACTGTTCACCAGCACAGTAAGATGCTAGAGTCACTACTTATCTTCTCTGTCAAGCACTTTATTTTCTATCAAACAGTTCATCTGTTTTTTTTTTTAAAGGAAGGTTCAAGCAAACAAATAATTGTTAGGAAATACACTTCAATGTGGAGATGCTTTGCCTCTAAGTGCTATAACCTATCATGAATTGCAACTGTGGGTAAAATTGCAGTATTTCCACAATATCTCGCCTGACTTTAGTACATCTGCATATCAACAAGTGTTCAATGGTGGAGAGAAGTATGGCTTTAGGGCATTTACATCATTTCTCAGGGGTGGAGAAGTTCATCTCCATATCAATGGGCAATTACCTGGCCTACTGAGGGCGTGTCAGAACTTAAGAGGTTAAGGGGAGGGGTGCTTGTGGGATTGCTTCTTCAGGAGCAGAGGAGAGAGATGGTGGCCCTGGACTGCAGTTTGTAAGCAATAAACGTTTTTTAAATTTTATCTCTCCCTTCGACTGATTTCAGTTTTTAGACGTATTTGGCCCTGGGATTTCTTTTCCCTGGACTTAGAACAACCAATTTCAGAAGCTACACAAACACACACAGGAACCATCAGTAGAATTAATTCTAATTGGGGTTGTGCATATCTTTAGAGATTATTAAAAACCCACTCATGAGAAAATCAGCAAGGTTAAGGCCCTGCAAGTACTGCTAACTTATGCTGCCTGAATGGAAAACAGTACTACTTCACTCTCTGTCCTTCTGGGGGAGAACAACATCTGTTATGGCTTAGAATCTGGAATAAAAACAGACCTGTATATTATAACAGTTTTATTTGAAGGTGAGTTTAGAAAAATTTTTTTATTCTCCCAAGATGGGGCTTCTGAAAAAGGGTATTTCAGAATATTTGTCATTTTCCATATACGAGATGGACCAAACATACTTTGCACAACTTTAATTTCTGCTTTACTGCTTAGCAAAATTAGAAAGTTAGATTCCTACTGCTTAATACGTAAGTGCTTATAATATGCTAGGCCTTGTAAAGAAAATAAATCTGTCCCCAAATGGTAACAGAAATTACATGCCTTAGGTTATATGGCCTTCATATCTTAATTATTCATTTGTACTCTAAGTGGCAAGCCCCTGAAACTAATAGGTATTTGTGTCACAAAAGATATACATACACCATAACATGTGGAGAGCATTCATTATGTGCAAAAAATTGTGAAGAGCTTTCTTGTATTCAGAGATAAGAAATGGTTCTTATGCTGTTTCTGTTTGTGCTACTCAAAAAAAAGTTTTTTACTTTTAGAATGGAGGAGAATCATCCACTAAGTTAGGCTTTTGTTTATTTATATGTCAGTATCCTTGGTCTCCTGCAGAAAACATCAAGCAAAGCTTGTCTAAAAAAGTTTCAAGGACTTTGGGTTCGTTCTAAAGTAGGATTATGGATTCTTCAAGTGACTTGTTCACATAGAAGGGCTAGGTCTGTCAAAAGGGATTAAAAAAAGGAGATTGTTTGGCTTTTCAATTGGACTCTGTTCCGTTCGCGACTCAGTGCGGTCTTGGTCGGCGGCCCTGTAAGGCCTGGCCACTCGCGTCCGTCCAACTCCAAAGGCCATGCAAGAGCGCGGCTCTGACCCGCAGGGAGGGACCGTGGTCAAGGCCCACCGCTTTCAATTCGTACGCCGGGTCTTAGAGAACTCAGGCTGCCATGGTGGCAGGCCGCAACCCTACCTAGCAAACGCCGCCCGGAGGCCTGCTGGCCGCGTGGCCACGCTGACGGCTGTCTTCCTTCCCGGCTCCGTGAGTGGAAACGGGCGGAAGCAGCGCCCTTTGGGAGGTTGGGAAGCGCTGTTCCAAGAGAAAGGCCGCGAGGGCGGGGCTTGGGGCCATGTCACTGGTCGACTTCTTCACTGGTCAGTGAGGGCGAGGAGAGGCCGCGTTGGGGCCGGGGCGGAGCGCCACATGGCGCGACCCAGCCAAGCCTTAGCGTTGGTGGCACCGAGGAAACAGCGTAGCGCGGAAAGCCTACAGCCCCGCTGGGAAAGGATGGGTCACCTAACGAATGTTTCTGCACAGCCCACACGGCCTAAGAGAATTTGGGAGCGCGTGGGGGAGGGAAAGAGACGGCAGCCAGCTCGCAGAGAGCATGCTCTGGTCTGAGAGCCGTCAGGCAGGCGCAGTGAGGCCGGGGTGGGGGGGTTGGCAGCAGGGTGAGCCGGTGATGTGTTTATCCGGTTTTCTGGGTGGCCGGTCAAAGCGCACGCGTGAGGGCGAAGGGCGGTGGAGCTGGGTAGTTGAATGCGCATGCGCCCAGCGAGCCGGTAGTTCTGGGAGGGCGTGGAGGGGGCTCTTGAGAGAAGCAGGGGAAAAGGGAAGCGAAGGGAAAGGAAAGGGCGGGGGAGGGGTGAGAATGTGTTCTGCGCATGCGTGCGGGTGCTAGCGACGACGGCGGCGGGGGAGTCTCGGTGATGACAGTGGCTTTGCCCGTTGGGGTAACGGTCGTCGTCGCCAGGAGGGCCTGAGGCGTCGCACAGCCCGCGGGATTCCTTAAGGCCGCAGCAGCCCAGGCCCTACCGAATTAGAGTGGCGAGTGGAGTCGGGGTGAGGGCGGCGAGGCACGGAGGGAGGGGCCTGCGGTGGGGCCTTGCTGTGTGTGCGCTGGGCGGCGACAGGGCCTGGCGGTGTGAGCCCTCGCCTCAGCTACGGCCGGGAGGGCGCTGAGGGCGGCGGCGACCGTCGTACTTGGTGGAGGAGGTGTCCGACTGCGGCGCGAGAAAGATGGCCGGGCAGTGAGGGGGCGGCGCTTGCGCGTGGTGACTCCGCTGTGAGCGACTGAGGAGCGAGGGGCGCCGCCGCGGCCTGGCCGGGCCTGCTCCCCGCCCCCTCCCGCCGCCGCCGTCGCCGCCGGCCCGCGCACTTCCTCCCCGGCCCTCCCTTTTCGTGTGGGGGATTCTCCTGCTCGTTTCGCCACCTCAGGAAACAGCGAGGCTGTAACCGCTGGAGCGGAGAGCCAGGCGCAGCCCGGACCCTGCGTCCGATATGGGGAGAGCGGCGGCGGCCTCCGCCACCCGCAGCAGCAACATTCGTCGTGGCCGTTGCTTGGTGCACTAGATCAAGGAAGCCGACGCCCGAGCCGTGGTCCTTGCTGTCGCCGCTACCCCCGCGCTGGGAGCTGTGATGGATTAAAGGCCCCGCAGCCTTTGAGAAGCGTGCCCGCCCTTCGGACCGGACCGGGCCAGGGCCTGCTCCGGCGCCCGCCCTGCTCCACCTGAGGAGGTGCCTCCGCGTCCGGGAGATGCAGCGAAAGCCGCCCGCCGAGCCGCGCGGCTAGACTGAGCGTCGAGTCCCGGCCCGAGCGCCGAAGCCGCCGTGTCCTGCTCCCCGCGGCCGCCCAGGATAAACTCGAACGGCGGTTTCTCTTTCTTTCTCTCTCTCTCTCTCTCTTTTTTTTTTTTTTTTTTTTTTTTGGTCTGCAACTCTCAGGGACGGAGGAGGGGCGCCAGGGCCCCCATGTGTGGGAGGATTGCTTCAGCTCCACAAACTTGCATGGATTTTGGTTACTATTTCGGCCAGTGCTTGTGCTCTGATTGTCTCCGAATTGTTGCAAATTCGCCATTGTTCTCTGGTTGCTTGCAAAGTTGGATCCGGGATTTCTTTTCAACCGGGAGCCAACGGTGTCGAAGTGTCTGCAATGAACCCCGTGAATGCTACTGCTCTCTACATTTCCGCGAGCCGTCTAGTGCTCAACTACGACCCCGGAGACCCCAAGGCGTTTACAGAGATTAACAGGCTTTTGCCTTACTTCCGACAGTCCCTCTCGTGCTGTGTTTGCGGTGAGACACTTTTTATTGTTCCCTTTTCCGTGCTTGTTTTTTTTTTTTTTTTCTAAACATGGACAGTGGTAACAAACGTTTGACGGCATGGAAGTTTATATTAAGCTTTTGTTATTTGTGCAGTGGTATAGGGTCATTAGTTTTAAAACTCGTCGAAGGACTTACCCGGCATTTTAGAGAGACAACCCTTCCAAACCGCTTTGTACGGCAGCTTTAACGTTCAAAATTGTTTGATTCTCCTCGGATCAGTTCCTTACCATTTCTGGTGATGGTTTTTTAAGTGAGGTGAAGTATGCATGCATATTACTTTTTTTTTAACCTTTGATACAAGAGCTAAATACCTACCTTGGTTAAACGTGGTTAAACCGTGTCCATGTGGCGTGTTTGCATTTCCCCAAACTGGTGTTCTGTGTGGGTGATGGTATAATCTGATGCACCCACAGCAGGTGAACTCAGTTGCAGGATTTCCCCCAGTTCCTTCAACAAATGCTTTGACAGTTTGCTGGTAAACGGAGCAGGGCAGACTGATAGTACTTTTTAGCTACTGGGATTTTTTACAGGATTAAATTGCTTACATATTTTGTAGTTTGAATATATTGTGCTTGGTAGAGGGTTATTTTAGGAATTTTTGTTCAAAAAATGTTACTTTTGAGAGGTGAAGATACGCAAAATTGTCTGATAAATGGAAGTGTCTCAAAAGTGGTATTAATTTGGATTAGCTGTGCAAGTATAATAATTGCCTTTCGAAAAACCTGGACTGAAAATGAAAACATTAAGGGAAAGGGCAAAGGGGAAGTGGCCAAAAAAAGAAAAGCAGTAGTATACTCCATATATTATTTTGCCAAAACTCTAGAAGTTTTGTTGAGCCTCACTTGTATAGTCAGAACTTGAGAAATGCAGGAATTTCAATCTTTCACTTTATCTTAGATTAAGAAAGAAGAGTAATTTTGGGACTGTAGTGGCTAAAGGGATCAGTAATATCCACTTGAGATTCATACATCATTTTCTGTATAACTTGGGCAAGGATGGGGGTGTGCAGAAGTGATTGATTTTTTTTTTGCTCACCAGGTATTTAATATCATAAACATTTAAGTAACTGTTAGAATGTGATTAAGTGCTGCTGTGACTGGTAACAGACACTTAACACCTTTATAGAGAAGCAGTTGCCTTGGGCAAAATCACTTAGCTACTGTGGGCCTCAGTTTCTTGATGTGTATGAGAGCTTTGGGCTAGATACAGAATTGCCTTTCAGCTTAAATGTTACGAATGTAAATATAGGAATTTTCTTGGTTTCATGGTACTCCCTCCACTCACTTTCTGTGAAGTGTATTTTGTGTTTACAGTTTAGATAGTTTGCAAACTGAGGAGATAGAGCTGCTACAGTTTCCTCTCCACAAAACTTTCTTTTGGGGGGAATCACTACTGTGGTGATGTTGGAGAAAGAGACTGCTTAGGGCAGCCCACTGTGGCCTGCTAGAACTCAGTAGAGTGTGATGTCATTATACAGATAACAATTGAAGCTGGTCTGTTTTTTACTAGGTAGGTGGACTTAAAGAGGGAAATAGAAGTTTTGAACGTGTGAATGCTTGGAATTTTAAGTTCGTATCAGTAGCCTCAGGATAGTTGTAGTCTAGTTAAACATTTTTCCGCATCTAACCTGAATCTTATAAGATGACATTAAAGGTAAAGCTACATTAGAAAAAAAAACCACTGTAGCTTTTTTTTTTTTTTTTTAAGCCAGTTGGCAACACAAGGGGAATTTTTCTGACAGTGGGGCTTTGTAATTATTCCTTCTTGTTCAAGCTTCTCCATCATCCTATGGAAAAGATTGGTGGGTTCTACTCCCTTATGATTGAGTAGCTGGCATAAAATTTCAGCAATCTGGTTGTAGGTTTGGTTCTCCCAACTCCCCATCTCTTTGAACATCAAAGAGGTTATCCAGAGATAGGGAAAAAAATTCAGTTATTTGAATTCAGATCCAACATTTAATCATTCTTTGTATCAGGTGGAGTCCTGCACGCTTTCTTAGCTGAAAAACAAACTGCAGTCTTACCTCATGAAGGCAATATATACGTAAAAGTCAAGTGTAATTCTATCTTGGTGCTTTATCAGGAAGTTTGTGTTATTGACCCAGTCCTACCTTTGAAACTTCCGTTCAACTGCCCTTTTACAGAATTACTTCAACCAGATTGATGTTTTTGCCTTTCAAACATACGTGCCTAATACCTTCCTCTTCTTTTCCCCATCTTTGCTCTCTGGAGTTCCTTCTGCCTAAAAGACACTCCTCTCCATGGTCTAACTCCCTGCATTCTCAATAAATTCTTCCATGCTCCAGGAAAAAGTTCTCTTTGTCCTTTGAACCTCTGTAACCCTTTGTTTCAGTCATAGGTATTTAAAACTCTTTCAGTTCAGTTTTATATATAATTCTTCTGATAGATATTTGAGGGAAAATACTATGTTTTGCATATTATTGTGTTCCTTCTACCTCATCCCCTCTCTGTCCAGAAACTTGAATGTAGGTGATGATGACAGACTCAAAGGAACAAAGTTGAGAGGATGTGAGTGAGGGAAAGTAAAAGACCTACAGACTTTGAATTTGGTTTGATTTTTGGCTCTTTTACTTTGCAGGTAAGTTGCTTTAACTTTTTGCCTCAGCTTTCGCTGTCTACAAAAGGGGATAATGTAACTTCTTAAGTTCTGTTTCTCCAAATTTGTATTATATTTGGGTTTATTTTTAAGTGGGGAAAACCTTTTGAGCCCATGGGAACAAGATTATGGACTTGGTGTCTGGCACATACTATGTGCTTAATATCCTGCTCTTGTGCAGAAGTATAGAAAGGTAGGAATTGGTAAGAGAAGAGACTGAACTGTCAGGTTATTGTCAAAACCTAGATTATTCACTGGCTTGTTATCATTGTTCTTTGAAATGTTAATTACTTGATTATGCTTTTCAATTGTTTTGTATATTTAAGCCTTTTGAAGCTTCTAATGAATGCTCCAGAGAGCTACTGTACTTTCTAGGCCACTGAAACAATGACCAAGACAGTTATTCCTGTGGGTACTAGTATTGTGTCAGTTCTTTCCCCTTTGGTTTAAATGTTGGATTTGCCTTATAATTTATCAAGACGTAGAAGTTCTTTTCTTTTTTTTTCTTTTAATTTTTTTATTTTGGTATCATTAATCTACAATTACATGAGAACATTATGTTTACTAGGCTCCCCCCTTCACCAAGTATAAGTTCTTTTCTTACAATGGCATGAGAGTTGATAAATTCTGCCCTAGGGATTTAAATTTTTGTATTAAACTTGTAAGCCTTCAAATGATATAACAAGTTTGATAGAGTCAAATTCTGTTAGAACTGGGAAGACATGTTAAGTGCAAAATATTACCGAGATATTTGGAGTCCTATAAATTATAGTCATTATTCAGGTTTATTTTCCTGGTGTTTTAATCAAAGCCTAGAAACAGTGGTTTTGGCTTTGGATTCACTGAGTAGTTGTGGACCTTTTGGACATCCAATTTCTCATTTGTAAAATGGGAAGGAGCTGGAGGTTACTGTTTTCCATTGACTCAGGGTGACCAGGTTTTTGTTTTGAATGTTAAGGACTTTAAAAATCCTATCTTTTCTTACTACTGATATTCTTATTTATATTCCATTAGAAGGTAGGGGTTCCCTGAGGGTGAGGGACTTGCTTGTCTTCTATGCCATTGTAGCCCTGCTTCTGAGGGTTACTGTCTCAACAGGTTATTTGTTAAATGAATGAAATTACCACTAAAAAGAAAGCTTCAAAGTAGGCAGAATGTACTCTCAGGATAAAGTATATGCTTTAAAATCAGATAAATGTAGCTTTATCAAAGACTACCTTTGTTTTCTTTTTATCATTGTGTCATTGTGGACTCACATTGGATTTAGTGGAGTAGATGATCTTAAGAATCTCTTCCAGTTCTAGAATTCTGATTCTTTTAGCAGAAACACTTGGCTGAGCAGCTTATAAATAGCAAAAGTCTTCTAAATGAAATTTGAACATACAGCCTGGAGTAACTTTATTTTAAACTCGTCTCTTTTAGATGGAAGGTAAATTAAAAGGCCGTTTGAGTAACTGTACACAAATTAATGTTTTATATTTTTCTCAAGCATGAATTTGATATTTTAGATTTTGTTTTCTTATATTTAAAAATCACGATAATTAAAATTTATTGTAGTAAAAAATATACTATCTTGACCATTTCTAAGTGTGCAGTTTAGTAGCATTAAGTGTATTGATTGACACTGTTGAGATACAGATTTCCAGAACTTGTTTCATTTTGGAAATCTGAAACTCTAATACCCATCAATTATCCGTCCATTTGCTCCTTCCCCACAGCCCTTGGTTACCACCATTCTACTTTCTGTCTCTGAATTTCACTACTCTAGGTACCTCATTTAAGTGGAATCATACAGTATTCATCATTTTGTGACTGGTTTATTTCATTTGTCACTGATGTCCTCACTGCAAACCCATGTTCATAACAACACTATTCACACTAGCCAAGAGGTAGAAGCAACTCAGATGTCCATCGTTGGATGAATGAATAAATTAAGTGTAGTGTATGCATACAGTGGAATATTATTCAGTCTGAAAAAGGGAAATCTTGTCACATGACCCAACATTGATGAACCTTTGCAAATAACTCTTGATACCCTGCTTCAGTTCTTCTAGAGATATACCCAGAAGTGAGATTGCTGGATTGTATGGCATTTCTATTTTTAATTTTTTGTGGAGCTTCCATAATGTTTAACATAGTGGTCACACCATTTTGTAATCCCACCAACAAAACAAGAGATCCAGTTTTTCCACGTCTCCACCAATGCTTGCATGTTTTGCTGCCATTCCAGTGTGTGTGAGGTAATAGCTCATCATGGTTTGGATTTACATTTCTTTAATTATTATAGAGGTGTTAATATTTTTTTTCATATGGTTGTTGGCCATTTGTATATCTTTGGAGAAACACTCATTTTA